TTTGTAGAAAATCTAGTCATTAGATTTTCTTTATAATTTGCATGTAACAAGCTTGTAACGGTACTCACAAGTTAACACCATTTTGCTAACAATTTAACAGAGAGATCTTTTAATTATCCCTTGTTGGAGGTTCACTCAATATTCTACAATTTCCTTTGTTTAAAATGGTTTTTTTTTTCAATACTCCAGTTACTTATTTCCTAAAGTATTTTCGTGCCACATTTCGTGAAATTCTGAGTGGTTCTTAAGAAATAGGCATATTTCCGAGAAAGCAATTTTCCGTTCAATCGCAACTTTTTGACTTACTACGCATGCGCTGCATTTGACTGGGTTCTTTCGATAACGACGAAAAAGCTGAGAAATGCTGGGTTCTTTGCACCGTTAGCTTTTGTAACATATCTTTGTAATAAAAGATAAAAGCCCTCGATACACTGCGCCAACTATTGAGAAAAATAGCACAGATAATGCGGGTACGTGTTGAGTAAATAAAATGACCGCTCTTTTGACGGCATGATTGTTTTTTACAATCCCTGCGTTTTTTTGCAAAAACTGTGTTCAGCCACCCTGCGTTACTCGATGCACCGCCTGCCGGTTAGCTCAATGGATAGAGTGCTGGACTGTTTGTTATGCGGGAGGTCGAGGGTTCGAAGCCCGGCCGGACCAACACTCAGGGTCTTAATATAATCTGAGAAGAATTTGCCACGTCTCTGTAACATCAAGAAATGGTTAGATTTTCTAGTCTTCTCGGATAGGGACGAATAAACGGAGGTTCCTTCTCCTGCAAGGTTGGGGTAGGAGACGTTAATATCCCACACGCGAGATTACTGTGTGATGGATGTCCTCCCCTGGGGTGGGATGGTTGGGATACTGGGCGCACTTAATCTGGAGCTTCGCTCTGTTGTGCGACCCTCGCCACACTCTGGTCAAAGTGATTAAGTAGATTAATAACCAAACATTAACTGTTACTGTGGTTAGGAAAGTACCAAATGCATGTTAAATTCATATTAACACGAGATTAAATTTATTCCTTGTCCGTTTCCTATTCTCTTAATTGGGAATTGTCCTGGAACCCTCACGTTCTATTATGACCATTTTTTTCGCCGAGAGAATTAAGAGGACTTAAACTCTAATCGTTTTACTTTTAAAATATTATCTGAATAACCTTGCTTCTAGAATTTAACTGCTCAAGAACTCGGGAATCACGGCCTTGTAAATGTAAGTGGTTTGATCTATGAAGAGAAACAAGAGGACTCCAGAAGTGCTGGTCGAGAATACTCCCCCTCAGTCCCCCTCCTGTTTATTTATTTGCGATAAGAAAAAGAGAAGAAGAAAGGGCAAAAAAAAAAAAAAAGGAACTGGACGCGTTGAATTAAAAAATATATATATATATTTAATTTTACAGGACTTTTATGATTTCCGATTAGATGCTAGACTTATATTCTGTCGGGCAAAAGAAACACAATTTTTCTTAGGTTAGAAGAAGGAAAGATCGTTACACTTTCCTATTGAACAGGCGAGATTTTGGTGAGCGAGTTCTTTCTACTTTCCTTATCAAAATAATTATGGCTGCCATCTTGAACTTTCACAGCAGGGGAGAGCTTGAGAGAGAAAAAATTTGCGCCAAGATTGTGAGAGACGGTCGAAAGGGGGAAGAGGGGAGGGGATGGGGCTTAGCTTTGAAATTAATTATTAGTTTCCTTTTCAGAGATAAAAGGTCCTCCCCAATCAGTTCTCAGCGAGAGAAGTCTGTCAAACTAGGTTCCACAATTCAAATAAATTTGTTTGTGAGGGATTTCCCTAAGGCAGTGTTAAATTAGTTTTTGAGAGCAAGTACTTAGCATTTTATCAGTGAAAACTATATATAGATTTTAACAGCAGGGAAGAG